GCATGTTTAAACAATTTGCAAGGTCATTTAAGCATTTCATGTAGTAGTCACTCATATAGCTATTCAGGTCAACACATGAAATATCACTTAAGTGCTTGATCATGAAATGTGGCCTTCATGAACAAGGTTCCTTTTGTTAACCTAAGTGTAGCTAAGGTGTTTTAGTGACCAACATTACCCACTTGCATTCATTTGCACATGATCATATGCCTATGTTCCAAGAAACACGAGATAACAAGCAATGTTTCATATGTTTCGATCAAATGTTTCAATTGTAAGTGATGATTTATGAATGCTTGATGCTCATGCTCATGTTATGCGAGTCAAGTTATGCAAGGCTAACACCCGAGGTGTTACAATAATCATGCAATATCCAGTTCAGATCGATTGGTGGTCTCATATCTTGTCAGATTAGCTTGGAGAGGGAAAATGCCTCACCTGACAAAAGCTATAAGCTCCTATTGTTTCTTGCGCTGGGAGAAAACAACAACTCACCCAGCCTGACAAAGTCTGATAAAGCTGAGCTAGTTGGAGAAGGACGAGCAAAAGAACAGGCAAAAAGCCAAATGGACTTTTCTTACATCACTAGTAGTCTCGGTTGTGAGATTATTAACCCCATTTCTCTTTTGCCTACGTGGACAATAGTTCTGAGTTGAAGTCAACACAACCTTGTAGCTTGCATTGGTCCTGCCCTGCATCGCCACATGTACGTGAATTTTATCGGAATTGTGGTATGTTTCAATCTTTGCTCTTCAGCTTTATGTAAAAAAAATCATGTCTATTTTAATTGCTATTTGCTAAGTGATAGCATCATAAAATCATTTATCACGTAGCAAGGTCGATGATTTGTCCCAACATCAGAGTCTATTGAGATTGATTTCTATTGTTCAGTACACGATGTGCACAGTTTATTTAATTATTTGGCGCCGTGTTCTTTTGTAATTCTTATGCAGTTGTGAAAGAGTTTTTTTTTTTGCAAAGGTTTGAGTGAAATCAAAGTTAAGAAATAAGATGGATGATAGTTTTTTTTATGATTGTCACGTCATATTTATTGAGCAGGATATTTTCTTTGAAGTTAATGAGGATGATATAATCAAGACATTTATGTCCATTTGAAAGCGTCGGATAAAAAAGTAAGATAAATAGCATTGTAAGTTTTATACTCTTTTATGCCTATATTTTTTATATTGTATTTTGTGAATGGTTTTAACTTAATTCTTGGATATGCTTCTTCTATGGTTTTAGAAGTGTCATTCACAAGATATATAATAAAGTCTTCACGAAAAGACTTTGCAGTTCTCTGTATCTTATTCTTTCGAGTGACTATATTATTATCCTCTCTGGATTTTTTACATGGGTTTCAACATCAGCGTGTATTACTGGTTCATGCGTCTTAGGTAATAAAATAAATTCGTGACTAGAAGTGCTAGGTGTATTTTTCATAGAAAATTCACTCTAAAAATGTAGCATATTTAGATTTCATAATTGTTTCAATATTCATATCGGGCACTCCAGAGTTTTTTTTATAAAAAATCTATAACCCACGTTGTTAATAGCATAACCGAGAACGACACTCAACAATTTTTTGTCTAAGCTTTTGTTTTTTATTTATTGGCACATTCACCTTTGCCAAATAACCCCACATTCATAGGTAAGAAATATTTAATTTCTTTTTCTATTCCTCAAATGGTATAATTTGTTTGTTCTTTGGTTAGGGGCGTCATAGGCCCATGCGGGCAGTGCGACGAAAGAGGGCACCCAAAAATCATGACCCCAAGATTCCGGACATCTATATAGTAATTTTGGGCTTTATTTTAATTATTAGTAAATCAGCCACGGCTGTCTTCTTTGGCCCATGAACATGGCCTGCTGGAGCACATGACTCCATGATTCCACGTGACGTGCTGCTTCCTTCCGGAGAAAAGAGTCCGCGGCCGGCGATTCTAATTCTTTTCACGTAACCCTTCGTCGCTTGGACTTCTATTCCTCCGCCTCACCGTTGTTTGTCGCTCGAGACGACGAGACTTAGGTGCTGTTCGCTTGTTATAAGTCGTACTTTTTTAGCCAACGAGTAATATTTCTCTCTCATAATAAATCAACCAACAATACTTTCAGTCATGGTTTATCAGCCAAGTGAACAGGACATTAGTCCCAATCCCAGACCTAGATCGAAGATGGAGATCGCCTGGTAAACTCAGACCCTATTTTATTTAGTTATAATATTTTGTGGATTGTCTTTGTACATAAATTGATCTAGTGTAATTGTTCTAACTTGCAAGCCCTGTCTTCTTCAAATCGGATTTAAAAATATGAATCAGGAAATAAAAAGCGTAAGAAATAGCAAAGAAACTTTCATAACTCCCGTCATCACGGGTGGAAACTCTTAAAACTTCCATAACTCTCCGTCATTATAAGCGAAAACTCCAGAAACTTCCGTAACTCCTATCATTAACCATCTTGAGTGGCAAAACCAATTCTAACACCACACCGGCTCGGCGGGTGTGGTTTGCTCTCATCGTTTCCCAACTTCTCAATATAGACAAACATAGTCCGCACATAAAGTCAAGTCAACATATAATCAAAATTCTGTATGGGACTAAATAATATTACGCATAATATTTAATACGGATCTTAGAATTTTATTCGATTTAATTAGATAAAATATGGGTCAAGCCCACCTTAAATCTAACAAAGAACACTAACTAAAGTGCTTAAATGACTATATTATTTGGCTAAACAGCCATTTAAGCACACTAAACGTTTTTGTAATAAGATAAATGGTCCATGAATCAGTAAATAGGTCAGATGGTCGTTTGGATGAGTGGTTAAAGGTAGAGGGGAGGGGAGGGGGGGGGTAGAAACGTCATACATCAACTGAATTTTTTTGTCGGTCGATGTAATTGACACACTAAAAGTAGCCCGTTACAGCGCCGTAGCACATGGTAGCTTTTGTTTGTTTTATCCCCTCAACTGACTTGTTCCACTGGTGTTTTGGTTGCCCTATTTGCTGGACCATTGCGTTGCCACTTTCAAAACTAACGCTGGTGGAGAAACGTCATACATCAACTGATTTTTTTTGTCAGTTGATGTAATTGACACACTAAAAGTAGCCCGTTACAGCGCCGTAGCACATGGTAGCTTTTGTTTGTTTTATCCCCTCAACTGACTTGTTCCACTGGTGTTTTGGTTGCCCTATTTGCTGGACCATTGCGTTGCCACTTTCAAAACTGACGCTGGTGGAGAAACGTCATACATCAACTGATTTTTTTTGTCAGTGATGTAATTGACACACTAAAAGTAGCCCGTTACAGCGCCGTAGCACATGGTAGCTTTTGTTTGTTTTATCCCCTCAACTGACTTGTTCCACTGGTGTTTTGGTTGCCCTATTTGCTGGACCATTGCGTTGCCACTTTCAAAACTGACGCTGGTGGAGAAACGTCATACATCAACTGATTTTTTTGTCAGTTGATGTAATTGACACACTAAAAGTAAACCGTTACAGCGCCGTAGCACATGGTAGCTTTTGTTTGTTTTATCCCCTCAACTGACTTGTTCCACTGGTGTTTTGGTTGCCCTATTTGCTGGACCATTGCGTTGCCACTTTCGAAACTGACGCTGGTGGGGATATGACTGGCTCTAGTTGATGAGTGGAGCAAGTTCTGATGATGGAACATAAATGCTTGTAGGAACCCCTAGTCTTCCTTTTTAGAGAGATCGATGCACTCATGTTTATGTCGAATTTGTGCTTTAGTGTCGTTAGAGTCCTTGTAAACTACTGCCTGGTGGCTCCCAACCCGCGGCGAAGCCAGTGCATATGTGTCGGGGTCATGCGACCCCGATAACTTTGTACGAATTAGTGGAACCCCGCGTATTCCGGCCAGCTACGACCCCATCAAATTGAGTTCATGAATCTGTGCGACCCTGGCAGCAGTTTAGTCTAGATTCGCCGCTGCTCCCAACTCCCAGCCACTCATATACTATTTAATAACATTATTGTGACCTTGATGTGGTGTTAACTTGAGCGGCGGATTACTCGGCATATAGCTGAGATACCTGCAGTCGCTGAAGATTATGATAATGGTCAGATTAAAATACGAAACCATCTTTTGTAACTTGCGACCTTAACACCGTATATTTAGGTTGCAATCTTTATCATTGGATCTTTAAGTTGCGATCTTTATTTGTCTCTGGATGTTCATTGCTTGCAGTCAAGTTGCGATCTTTATTTGTTTCAGGATGTTCATTGTTTTCAGGATGTTCATTGTTTTCAGGATGTTCATTGTTTACAGTCAATCACATCTCTGTTTTATTCCCTGTTTTCTTTTCTCTTCTTTTTCGAGAACACTGACTCCACGTGTATTTTATTAAGAAGTTGTTTTCTTTCCTCTCTAGCCGAACACTGCTCTCGAATCAAATCCACTCGATCCTGGACAGGAATGATAAGTCACTAGGTTTTCTGTGAGAAACCAGGATCCACTCGATCTTGGCCAGGATCAAAAGTTGGTCTGGCACCAAGCCCGTGCTGCCGAACGAGGCCTCGGAGAAATAAAACTGCCCATTTTGGAACGGAGGACAAGAGAGAACGCCGTCGCAGCAACCAGAACAAGCCAGTAGGCATCATCGACACGAAGAACTGTGTGGGGCCAAGGGTGATGCGTTGACCTCCGCCGTCGTCGATCAGCAGTTTGGTGGTTCGTTTCCTTTCCCTCCCTCTGCCTATGCCTGCGAGGCGAGCCGAAGGTGTTTTCGCGCCTGTGTCGCCACTCATGCTGCCGGCTCGGGTAACGACGCCACAGCGTACGGGACACGCGCGCCCACGTACATACAGCCTGTTCGCTTGCTCGTAAACAATCGTAAATTTTCAACCGGAACAATGTTTTTCTCTTATACCAAATCAGACAGCAGTAAATAATCTACGATACGATAAAACCTCCGAACACACTGATAGCCCGGGTGCCAACTACTAACTGCGCCAGAAAGAGCCCGCGCTGGCCGTGGCCATGGACTTGTCAACAACCCCGGAGCGGCGGAGGCATGCCGCCGCCTGGGCGGGGAAGTGGGCGGCCGTTTCCGCAGCAGGCACGTGCAGGGTGGAAGAGGTCGGGAAGCAGCAGCTGATACGGATGACGGGGCTGCCGGCGCGTGACCTCCGAGCGCTTGACCCGGCGATGCCGTACGAGGCGCCCAGCGTCGCGGGCCGGGACCGCGCCATCGTCGTCAGCCCGGAGAGCGTCCGCGCCGTCATCACCGCCTCCGAGGTGCTCGTACCGATCCAGCAGGACCCAGCTGCTGTGCCGCTCATCCGGGAGCTCCGCCCGCGTCTGGGTTCCACCGCCGCGACGGCCTCGTCCTCGCCACAGCAGCTCTCTGTACGTGTCACTGTCAGCGTGTCTTGTCTTGGGCGCTCCGCGCGCCCGCCTCTTGCGTCTCCGTTGAATTTCTTAGTCGTTTCTTCGATCATTTCCTTGCGACGATCTTTTGTGTAACGTCTCGCCACAGTCAACGGGTGGTGGCGGCGGGCAGGATGGGCATGAATTTGGAAGCGGCAAGATTCTGCCGTTTGAGTTCAGAGCACTCGAGGTGTGCCTCGAGCTTGCGTTCAAGTTCTGGGAACAGGAGGTACAGTATGCAGCCTTGTTCATGTTAGAAGAGCGTCCTCAACGGCCTTTCTAAATCTCGCTCTTTAAATCATTATTTAGAGAGCTATTTGCATAAAAATCATTTTCTATATCTTTCAATATCTAATAGTTTTGCTATATATCATGCACACTCTAGAGAGTTATTCTCGTCTTCTATATATTTTTGGCTAGCGAAAAATCAGAAATGAAAAATGACTATTTTGAATGACAATTTAGATAAGCTATTAGAGGGTAATTTTTTACCAAAATTTTTATTCCTATCATTTAGGAAGGATGTGGAGAGTCTCTTAAAGATGCTCTAACTATTATGAAAAATATTGCGACAATATAAGGGCATGTTTGTATCCATTAGCATTAAAAAATAGCTAGATAATAGCTAATAACTACAAATTTTTAGCTAGCTATTTTTTAGCAAGAGGCTATTTGGATCCACGTGCTAATAGGTGTTTGGATAGTGGTTTTATGATGCATACGAACTATTAGCACATATTAGAAACTCCAAACCTGATATTGGAATAAATAGTTAACAGCCCTTTAATTAATAATTAACAGGTTTATTAGATCTGTTTAGATCTATTAGTACTAATTTTAGCTGCTAATTTTTAGTGCTAATGATGAAACAGCCGTAAGTGTACTTTTGAATCTTAAACTTTGCCTCCGGTCGGAAACCAGGAAAACAAAATGGGTATTTTCCAATTATTTAATCAAGAAACCATACGGTAGCAACTTCCCTTTCCTTTTCTTTTTCCCTTGTCGTTGTCTAATTTTTTATTGTTGTTCACCAACATGTAATTTTATCATTGCTTAGCTATATCAAAAACCTATAAATTATCTTTTGTCAATTGCTCTTTTAACTATATTAATTGATTATGTAAGACTGTTGCTTAAAAATGTCTAGAAATTTAGGCACTTAAAATATAGCAATTCCCTTTTCTTTTATAGGAAAGCTAAATCTCAAACAGAAGAATTTTGATGTCTCAGAATTTAGTACTTATATATGCTTTTTATGATGGTGAGTAAATCAGGTAAAGAAAATTCAAGTGTTCCAACCATCGCAACACATGATTTATTTTTTCTTATACCTTAGTCACATATTGTTTACAATTTCAATTGAAATTAGAGTTATTTACATGAGTTTGCATTTTTGTGTATTTTCAGTAAAAAATCTATTATACAATAAAGTGGGTTTAGAGCCTTCCATGACTCCTATTATTTTTTTGTTTACACAAACTTATATAGATCTAATATGAGCCATAAATCATAGGTTGAATAGTTGAAAAAATCAGTTGAAAGCTATAAAACACTCTGGTCCTCTATATGTATATATAACACTATGAAAAAGAACAAAAAAATCTATTATATCTTCCTGAACTATTGTCCTAGTCTGTTTTTCCTCCTTAAATTTCAAATTTAGACGTCTTATAGCTTAAATTTTAAAATCCTTCGTTTTACCTCCCTGCAAGGGGTTTGGGGGTGGTTTTGTCATTTTTAGTTAAAAAATGATAAATACATGATAATTTTTTAAAAAATTTAAAAAGTAAATCTTCAGATAGATTTGGATACGCCAACTCCAATTAAAATATTTAGAGCTCATGAAAATAAATCAAGATGCTTAAAATAGATTTAGCTCTAGAAAAATAGAAAAAGATATAAAAATATAGAGTAGCGTCTAGGTCAACACCTACACATTCACAAGCCAAGAGACATGTTGCACAACACACTCAATGCAACACAACTCAACACAACAACTCCAGTTAGCCATTAGCATAACTAAAGCACATATGGAATATGACTCAACCGGGAAATAAGCCTCAAACCTTTCGCACATGTGTCAATCATTTATCACACACACATGGGCACGTCTCCACTATGTGTTCACACAATCTCTAATATTAAAGAGCGACGGATAGATTCAATCTCTACCATGCATGTACAAGTTAGAGTAGTGTGTCAAAACAAGATACAGCATCCAATTTCAAAGCGAATTGAAATACAAAGTGTTTTCATTGTTCTGCGCGCTCTCCCACGCTCACATGAGTTAAGTCTTAAGGTATGGTGTGGAGTACGATCCTAAAACAAATTAGAATGCATGATACGGTCATCATTAATAGATCTCTAAACCTCCTGTACCCATGCACATATTCTAGCACGATATGGAGTTCGATTTCTAGTTGAATCTAACATATAACGTGATCGATAAATAAATCTCAAAGCCATAATTTATATATATATAGGGCCCCGCTATTGGGAGCCCGAGGCTTCCAATAGTTAATGAAGAGCCCCATCCAACCCCACCTAGCTCGACCATCCAGGTCCGCCCAACTGACAAGCGCATAGGTGGGGGACCCCTGCAGACCCAGCCGATCAGAAACATAAAATTCCAGATCAAGATGCATAGAAAGGTTTTTATCGCAACGATGCATAAAAATTAGTAGTTGGATGAATGAAAATTAATTCGTTACCACATAGAAACCTCTCCACGAGCTAGACATTCCACCTGACACAACCTGACAAGGCTGACGCACGTATGCATGCATGCATACAACCCAATCCAATCTCTTTCGTTTTTTCCATTATAATTTCTCAACGAAGCATCCGATTTAAAAATGGTTTTCACCATTGAACTCCTGATATTTTTGTGCATGATTCAAGATCCATTATGAATAGATTTTTGTAAAAAATTTAAAATTCATAATTTTGGGCATTATGATATAGAGATTTATACTTCTAGCTACGCATAGAATCTTGTGAGCGAGTGCATAGAAACATAGAGACGACCTCATGTTTTCCAAAATTTAAAATTTGAATCATGGCACGTGATGGCTGATTGGATGCATATAATCACTATCAAGGTGCGTAAAAAGTTTTTGGCACCGACGTTGCAAAGAAATATGTGGTTGGATGAATAAAAATTAATTTTGTTACCGCGTAAAAAACTTCTCCACGAGATGGATATTCCACCTGACATAACTGTGATTGCCTCCACCAAGATCATGCTTCCCACTAATGTGGGTGTATAATTAACATGGGAACAATGTATAGAACTTGGAGGCCGTAAGCGTAAAACTTGGAGACGATCTCGTCTTCTCCAAAATTTGAAATTTGAATCGTGGCATGGGATGGTGAAAGCTCTAGTTTGGTTTTGGTGAATTGATGAAACCCTAAGTACTAATCTAGTTTATCAAAGGGATTATGAGATAGGTAGCACTACTCCAAGTAGTGAAGCAAATGAAGATCATGACATGATAATGGTGATGCCATGATGATGATCAAGTGCTTGGACTTGAAAAAGAAGAGAGAAAAAAAACAAAAGTTTAAGGCAAAGGTGAAATTGATAGGAGCTTTTTGGTTTAATGATCAAGACACTTAGAGAATGTGATCATATTTAGGATCGACAGCCGTACTATTAAGAGGGGTGAAACTCATATCGAAATGTGGTTATCAAAGTGCCACTAGATGCTCTAACTCATTGCATATGTATTTAGGATCTAGTGGAAAACTAACACCCTTGAAAATGCTTGTGAAAATATGCTAACACATGTGCATAGGGTGATACACTTGGTGATTGACATATTTGAGCAAGGGTGGAGAAGTTGGTGAAATGAAGGAGGTGATAGTCACTGAGAAACAGTGACCGGACACTGGTCATGCAGTGACCGGACGCTGACCCAGTGTCCGGTCAGTGGCGCGCAGTGAAGGCCGCCCTCGGTCCCTGGACCGGACGCTGAAGAGTTAGAGGGACCGGACGCGCAAGGGGTGCGTCCGGTCACCTAGTGACGTACGCTGACACAAGCAATAGAGAAAGGCTGTGTTGACCGAACGCTGGCCAGGGTCTGATCACGAGCCACTAGACGCGTCCGATCATGAATGGAACTTTACTGGAAATGACCGGACACCAGTGATGGTGCGTCCGGTCACAACTTAAGTGTACTGATGACCGTTGAGATCGGGCGATCAACATTTGAAGCAGGGGACACATGGCAAAAATCTGAGGACCGGACGCTGGGGTCCTGCGTCTGGTCAATACGACTGGCGCGTTCGGTTGCTCTAATTTTCAGGGAACAGAGAGCCAACGGCTCTATTCGTGATGCTCTCTATTTAAGCCCCATGGCCGGCTCAAGCTCATACGCTTGACCATTTGCATTGACATAGCAACCTTGTGAGCTTAGCCAAAGCCCTCCCACTCATCTCCATCATTGATTCATCATCTTTGTGAGATTGGGAGAGAATCCAAGTGCATTGCTTGAGTGATTGCATCTAGAGACACTTGGTGTTTGTGTTTTACTGCTGGATTCGCTTGTTGATCTTGGTGGTTGCCACCACCTAGACGGCTTGGTGCAGCGGAGGAGGATTGGCACGAGTTGGTGATTGTTCATGGCCATCTCCCGGTGATTGTGAGGGGACTTGTGCCTTCCCTGGTGGAACGCCGAAAGGTAACCCTAGTGGATTGCTTGTGTCATTGAGTTACCTCACTTGTGGGTAGGTTCTTACAGTGTCCAATTGTGTGGACAAGGTTTGTGCATCACCTCTTAGCCGCTGAACCACCAAGTGTTGGTCGACACAACAGGGACGTAGCGTGTTGATAAGCACGTAAACCTCGGGAGAAAATTGGTTGTCTCTTGCCCTCTGGTATTCTTTCGGTGATTGAGTTAATATTTATCTTGTGATTGGTTCACTCCTCTACGCAGCGGTATAATCACCTTACTTACTCATTTACATACCCGCAAACTAGTTGTAGTAAGCTCTTTAGTGTAGCTAGAATTGAGAGCTTGCTTCGTAGCTTAAGTTCATCTAGTGGAGCTCTTTAGTGTAACAAGTATGAGAGCTCTTAGTGAGTAGCGACTTAGTAAATTGTGTGTCTAGTGATCATAGTAACTAGAATTATTGGATAGGTGGCTTGCAACCCTTGTAGAGCTAGAGCAAGTTTGCTTTTTGCTATTTGTCATACTAATCAAATTGCTCTAATTGGTTTGTAGATTTTTTAAATGGGCTATTCACCCCCCTCTGGCCATATTAGGACATTTCAAGTGGTATCAGAGCCATGGTCACCGTTTGATTGAAGACTTAACAACCTCGGTGTCAAATTATGGCTCAAGTTATGTTCAACCATGTGGGGGGCAAACCACCGTTCTTTGAGGGTACAAGCTATGATTATTGGAAAAGAAAGATGAGAATGTATCTTGGTTCAATCAGTGATCAAGTATGGGATGTGACCGAGAGTGACTATGCTATCATTGATCCTGACAATCTCACCAACCAAGACAAGACCAACAAGCAATGCAATACAATGGCTCTCAACACCATATACAATGCCATTAATTCTAAGGTGTTTGTGCAAATCAAGGATTGTGAGAGAGTAAATGAGGTGTGGATGAGATTAGAGGAAACATATGAGGGCACACCGGTGGTGGAGAGTGCCAAGTTGTATATTCTTAAGGACAAGTTGACAAGCTTCAAAATGAAGGAAGATGAGAGCATTCCTGAGATGTTCCATCGATCGAAAGTGATTGCCAATGATTTGAAAGCATTGGGAGAGAAGATCAATGATGATGATGTCTCTTATTGGTTCTTGATGTGCCTACCTCCAAGATTTGAGATGTTGAGATTGCTTATCATAAGAGGTAATTTGAAGGAGATTACCCCTAACCAAGTACTAGGTGATGTCATGACACAAGAGACATACCGTGTTGAAAGGGAAGGGGTTGACAAGGATGACAAGAAGGAAGACGAAGACAAGAAGAAGAAGAGTGTAGCGTTCATGGCTAGCTCATCATCCAAGAACAAGGGCAAGTCCAAGAAAGAATCAAGTGATGATGAGGATCTTAGTGACATTGATGATGAGGCCATGGCTCTATTTGTGCGCAAGATGGGCAAATTCATGAAGAAGAAGGGCTATGGTGCAAGAAAGAGAAGAGATCACACCAAAAGAAAAGAATATGTGAGAAGATGCTACAATTGCAAGAGCCCCGATCACGTTGTAGCGAATTGCCCTACAATAGTGACAATAATGAGGATAAGAAAAAGAAGAACAAGAAGGAGAAGAAGATGACATTTCAAAAGAAGGGTGGGGGCTATGTGGTCACTTGGGATAGTGATGGCTCTTTGGATAGTGATGGCTCTTCAAATAGTGATGATGGCAAGAAATCTATCAAGAAAGCACT